TTGCTTCCCAGCAGGAAAAAAATTGCCTTTTCTATGTTTGAATTCAGGTCTATTAATGCATCCCTAGCTGGAGACAGTGTCATTTTCATTTTGTTCTTTGTAGTCGATGTGTCTACACCTTGCTGGTTCAGTATCCTAATGGATGCTAGGGTTACAGGTCAAAGTATAGAAACAAAAAAATGAAAATGCTTCGTCTGAGAATCAATAAGAAGAACTCTTAACACTTGTTTGAAGGGCAAAATGTGCAACCAATGAGAGGCCATAAGAGCACTCAACTAAAACTATTTCGTATCACTACGTTGCACAATGAACATAGAAAAGAAAAATGAATGATTTTATTTGGCGTGCACAAGTGCTGTCAGGAAAGCCATGGATGAAAGAATCAATACTACTTTTGATATGTCTCATCATTAAACCCTCCAAGGCATAACAAAGAATCCCCTCTTTGCCATGTAATTTAAATGATAAACGACAATTTGAGAAGTCAAATGAATATTTTTTGAGAGATGCGTTTAACAAAAGGGGGATAATTTGACATTGGCTTTCTACCTGGATTCACACAAGACTGAAAATTAAATCTGGGCAAAAAGCACTAGGATATAGCAGTAATGGAGACAGGGAGACACAACAGTAAAAAATGCATATTGAAATAAATCTACATAAAAGCATCAGTACAACCACAGCTGTCACATTAAGCCAATAAAATATAATGAAATGGGGCAAATCATTTTACCTGAGTTATGCAATACATATACATTCCATGAAAGAATAATTTGTTCCAGAAAAGAATGCTATGCACACACAAAAATACATGACATTATTTTCTTCATGTCCTACCTGCTGTATACCATTATTGGCTATAGCACTTTATAGACAATCTTATTTTATTGGAAACTGAAAGAGTAAAGAAAGGTAAAATGACTGTATCAAACACTTCAGTCTTTACTGGGCTACTTATCATCTTTGTAAATGCAGTCTACTACCACATTTATAAGTGCGTACAAAGCTTGCTTTCTGTACTGAATCGTGAAACAATTTCTTGCTCATTCATACAGTATGGCAGCAATCCTATGCAGACTCCGTTTTTTAAAAATAGAAGTATTTACTTCCAAGGAAATATGGATAGTTTCAAGCTACAAGTGTTCAGAGATTTGGTGCTATAAAGAGTCTCTCACTGTCTCAATGCAAGATCTCACACAAAATGCACAAAAGCCAATGTATTATGGCAGTACCACAAGCTGACTTGATACATGAGTACAGGAGTAGAGAACTGATTGCATGTGGGGGTTGCATTGGGTGCCAAATTCAAAAAGTGGGTGGTGGGCAACCCAGCTTCAGTGGGTGGCATGGCTTTGGCAAGCATCAGGCTGTGCTGCTTGGGGACCGGGCGCAGTATTGGCAGGCAACATTTTTTGTTTTGCCTCAAGTGACGAAGCATCCTGGGCTGGCCCTGGCCACTGCAATTTATTTTTCACAAGAAAACAGGACTGATCTCTGTGTGGTGTGGTGTGGTGTAGTGGTTAAGAGCAGTAGTCACGTAATCTGGGGAACCGGGTTCGCGTCTCCGCTCCTCCACATGCAGCTGCTGGGTGACCTTGGGCCAGTCACACTTCTTTGAAGTCTCTCAGCCCCACTCACCTCACAGAGTGTTTGTTGTGGGGGAGGAAGGGAAAGGAGAATGTTAGCCGCTTTGAGATTCCTTAGGGTAGTGATAACGCAAGATATCAAATCCAAACTCCTCCTCCTGCTGCTGCTCTTCTTCTTCTTCTTCTTCTTCTTCTTCTTCTATCTCAACAGAATTCCAGAAATCATGGTGCTGTTTGTTCATTTAATCAAAGAAAAATGATCAAAGGTAGCTTGGCTTTTTGGCAAAGATGAAGTAAGCAGTTCACTGAAAGCACAAACCGGTGTAGTGAATGAGGAGAGGAGTACTAAAATGAGTCATTGCTAAAGCATTATTTTAAAGCTTAAAGTAAGAATTAACCAGCTTATGTCTTATTTTCCAGATCTACTGATGTATTAAGTTTTATAAAACCTTAGATTATGTCTGGTGCTTCTACACCACAAGCCCACATTGCATTGCTGCAGAATGATATTCATGTTAGGATAACTTGGCCCTCAATCATAAAGCTATGAATTTACAAGTAAATCCCACTGATTTCAATAATGTTTCCATTCAAGTGTTGATGTAACAAGTTAACCAGCTTTTAACCCAGGGATTTGAATGGCTGCTTCTTCATTCAATAGAAAAAAAGCATTGCTCCTCAGCGTGGAGTGATTGTTCCTAAACACACATAAGAAGTGTTAGTTGTTTCCTTTGCTGTCTTGAACACAGTGCTGCATCTTTTTTCTTGTTTTTATCAAATTGACTGGGAGTCCTACACTAGTCATCGGTGAATTGATTTTGCATATCACCCAAATATCCATTTTCTTACAGATCTACAGCAAATACCTTGTTTGCAAAGGCTTCACCTTGACAGGAATGTCAAGGGCTTATAAATGTACAACTGATCATTATTGTTTTCTGTTCCCAGCTGTGGCAGCAATTGAACCACAGCTTTCACTTGTACTACCCTAAGTGGGTTGAGTGCTTTGACCCCTCGCTTCCATGCTTTAATGTTCTGTCAGCTCTGAATATGGCATTATGACTTTCGTTTTTCACAGAAATTGGGGAGGTGTCACGGCTCTTTCAAAATGTGTAGCCTCTTTGACACGCGCTGCCATCTGCATGAACTGTAAAGCTCCATCTGGAATATAATAATAAATGAAGCTACCATTCCCGACAATGCAAAGGTTGGACGGATCCTTGGGGTTGAAAACGCAGCACCTAACAACATCACATCAGCAGCCTTATTTATTAAGCGGCGACAGATTTAGAAAAGCTTGACCTTCAAGAGTCAATGAGAGATGCAGCTGGCCTCGTTACTGTCTTAAACTTGATTGCCACTTGCTAAGATAGATTTAATGCATCAACCCCGTTCATCAGCGGAAATAAGAAATAGTCAACACTAGGCCTGAGCACACCAATGTCGGTGCAGTCTTGTGAGATGACGGCCTGTTTTCTTGGGGAATGTTTGAATTATCTGTTTCATCTTCCATCTGCCTAAATTTTGTTTTTCATAAAGATTAAAGCAAAATACTAATTCACACACTTTTTTTATTACCAAGAAAACTACAATTTTATTGCTGTGACCATTGGTCAGAATAAACCAAATATTTTTTTCCTGTTATGAAGGATGAATAAAGTGGTACCTCGGGTTAAGAACTTAATTCCTTCTGGAGGTCCGTACTTAACCTGAAACTGTTCTTAACCTGAAGCACCACTTTAGCTAATGGGGCCTCCCGCTGCCGCCGTGCGATTTCTGTTCTCATCCTGAAGCAAAGTTCTTAACCCGGGGTACTATTTCTGGGTTAGAGGAGTCTGTAACCTGAAGCGTGTGTAACCTGAAGCATTGTAACCTGAGATACCACTGTATTTGAGTCTCTTTTAAGTGCAAGATGTAGTATGATTCCTAAATTAACAACACTCTGGGTTGATTTTGTTTATTTGTTTGCAAGGTGATCAGAAAAACAGGCTCTAGTACCTTTAATACCTGGAATTTTGGTAGTTCAATGGAATCTGATCCTAGGCAAGTATGTATAAAATGGCAGCTAAATATAAGTGAGGCATTGAAATATCTTTTGAGTGAGGAAAGGTTATATTAGAGCTTTTCAGGAAAGTATAGAAAAAGATACTTAATTTGGTCTGGCTCAGCAGGAAAAAATCTTTCCTTATTTATAGATTGTGGACCTATTTTGGACTTTTTATTTCACCTGTGTCCTGGTGTGGAAATAGGTAAGTTTTCTGCCTACTATGCTGCACAAGTCCAATCATTGTGGATAACCTGGTCTTGGTTGTCCATGCTGTGGTGACTTCCCCCCTAACTACTGCAATATGCTATATGTGGAATTGCCCTTGAAGACAGCCCAGTGACTGCAGCTAGTGCAGAATTTAGTTCTAGGTTTATAATTGGGGCAGCCAGTTTATAATTTATTTAGGAGACCACTGTAAGAAGATGGAAACATTAGCAGGATTTTAATCTCACTTGTGAAATAACAAATACTACTGACAATATGGATAGACATAAAATATAGATTACGAAATAATACGCAGTTGAAAATGTTGACAATAGGACCCATAGAGGGGATGGGGGGAAGTCCCGAGATTCAGAGTAATCTCATCACATAGATGTGTATTTGGTATGGTTATAAATTCATATTTATAAAATCAAATAAAAATGATGTTGAAAAAGTATATATAATTGGGGCAGCATGATAGGACCATATGTCACTGATCCTTAGAGCACTGTACTAGCTGCCAGTGAGATACAGTTCAAGGTATTAGTATGAGCATACAAGCTTGGGACCCAAATACTTAAAAACCACCTTCCCTCATATCAACCATCTTCAGACTGCAGGACTGAAAGCTGAAGTGAAAGATGGTGACTAGACTGAGTGAGGCAGCCCTATTGTTGATCATCATCATCATTTAGCCAATCACTGATAGGTTATTCTCAGGCGTTTGTAGATGACACCCAACCCCTATCTGTGTTGTATCTGAAATAAAAGAGGCTGCTGAGGTGTTAGACAGATACCTGAATGTGGTGGTGGGCTGGATCAATGCATTGATTATAAATCCTGAAAAGACCTTTGTTTTGTGTTCCAAATTCTAGTCCAGGAGATGGAAAGGCAGCCTGTTTTCGATGGAAGTTGCAACAGCCTGGAAGAGAGAAGTCTATAGCTTGGGGGTCCTGTTGGCAATAATGTTGTTATTTGCAAAAGCACTAATCTTGCTCTGGGTTATATGTGAAATACTTTATGGGACTGAAGACTTTACATGAAATGATATTACATATAAGTGAGGAGAGGGCAGAACCTGGTCTATTCTGAAGCAACAGAATGAAGCAAGGCATACGATTACTGTTGTTGTTTTAAAAACGTATATTTATTTATAGGATAATGCCTTTTCTAGAACTAAAATGTAATGTTTTCAGAATTACTGAGCATAAAGCCCAATTTAAAAATAATCCTGTTCAGTGATTTTTCACAACTGCTCAGCAGTCATGACAATGGCATGTTCAATTTTTAATTGCTGTAAGAAGTTGGAGCTACTTATTACCAGTATCATAAGCCTTTACCTTTCATCAGAAAAAGCAGAGCTTATTGCAGTTAGAATTGATGCTGAGATGCAGCAGGTCTTATGCACAAGGTGTTGAGAAAGCAAAGGTATTAGCTGCTGCCACCATTATAAAGAGGAGGAGGAGAACCCGCTGTGCAAAACCAGCTAAAATTTAACCAAAATTGTTTAGTTAAAAGATAATGCTGGAAAGCACACAAATAAAACAATAAAAATTAGTGGATGCAAAGGACTGCAGCTCCTTCTCAAGTTACTTTTCTGCATTTCTTTTCTTTCTTTTTTTCTTGTTGACACTACACAGGTGCCTATTAGGGGAAATGCCACATGGAAAGTGTCTTCAGATAATCATGCAAACATCCCATTCCTTTCATGCACTGTTTTAACAGTGTTTGCAGGCACATTTTGAGACAGCTGTGTTTCACATCAAGCTGTCTGTCACAGAGAAGGGGAAACATGATTACATCTGTGCATGTTCCTTCACATTAAGGATCTGTAAAAAAACCCAAAAAACCAGGACTTAGGTGTTCCACATTTTTTGTCTCCCCATTTCTCTGAGGTTGAAATCACATTTGTCAGCAATTCACCAGAGAAACACATATTCATACCTATATATGTGCTAAGATGAAGCTCACGTGGAGCAAACTCAAAGCATAGAGGTTAGCTGCATACTCATTCTGAGAAGCAAACAACCAATAATTGCACTTCAACTGGAATGTTGACCAGTAGCCAAGGATTTAGTTGTACCCAACCTACCAGATAATACAGCTCTATTTTTTTCTTCTTATTTCATACTAGATACATCAGACAGTGTAATAATATGGATGCCAATAATCTAAGTCAATTAGAAATGTCATGCCACACACATTATTTCTGTGAATACTGGTAACAATACTTGTTGAGAGATTATCATTCATTGTAATCAGTCACTGGATCATTTAATGAGCTTCTTGTCTTGCAAAGAAAAAAAAATTGCATCATTTTATCATATTATAGAGTCACTTCTTTGTCAGTGACCCACTGTGTTCCCTGATCAGATCAGGGAACAATGTCTCCTTGGTGATACTTTCTATACAATAAGTCAAAAGAACAAAATAAGAATGGGATAAATTATTGTTGGGACCTCCTGGCTTCATACCTTTCTTCCAGATTCTGGAAAGATCATATATGAAGCAAATCAAGGTGTTGGAGGCCATGAAGGAGCAAAAAGTCATTTCAGTTCTTTTCTCAACTAAACCTGCATGAATAAGTTGGGGAGGGGGTGTTCAAGAATTGAGAGAAAACAAAAAGGGTTCAAAAACAATTACTTTTATTAAAAAACCTAATAGTGATAAATATAATATCATCGGAAGCAAACTCCTTGCTTCGTTGCACTTTCGTCTTTTGCTAATCATATGCTACAACCCAAATCTAAAGAACCACCAAAAAGGGAGAGATAGAAGGGAATATTTTTGTAACAACTCAGCAGAAATTAATTGCTGTAGCAGCTTAAGAAGAACTAAAGCCCTCTTTTCTTCTGCTTTCAAGTTCAACCCGTTTTGCCTGAGGAAATCTCCTGGCTCACGGGTTTGATGTCAATCCTTGATTATGTTTTGATGTTTCTGCAGATCTACGATTGAGTTCAATTCTCAGCAGCCAAAACAGACATTTGTCATCTCGTATGCATCAGATTTCCTGTGGCATACTGCCCACTTAATCATGCAGACAAGGGGAGCCCTGGCAAAGCGGGGGGGGGGGCGCTGCTGATAGCAAGCCACTGTGACCTAGCAAGCATGGTGTCACATGCAATTACTATTATTTATAAGGATCACTCAAGGCTTGCTGGTGTTGCTGCACACCAGTTTGACCGCACTGGAGTGTTTAAGTAAATATTTGCACGCAACAAGGAGCCGTGTGGAGTGTTTTGTCTATGGCCACAGCCCCCATGCCATGAAATATTCAGCACATGAAATGTCTCCAGTGATGCAGAGTGGTGGGTTTTCGCTCTGATTTGATTAGCAGTGATGATTCTTTCATGAGGTGTGACTGTCCTCCCAGATTAGCATCAGCCCAGTTTCTCTGCAGTAGTCACGGAAGGATGGAGCTGAGAGAAGAGCAGCCAATGACTGCATTTTTAAACTTCTGACTTCTCACACTTCTTCCTTCTGATTTATAGGCTTTTCTTCTCTTACCCAAGATAGCACAGATTCAGACAGAGATCAGGAAATTATAATCAACAGAGAAGTCTCTACGTAAACTCCAAACGTCTAGGAAAGTTGAATGGAAAGGTTCTACCCACCTCTCCCCCCAAAAATAACATCTCAGCTATCAAAAATGAGATGGATGATTGATGTACATAGCCAAAGGCACATAAATGTAAATGTGCTTAGTAAAGAGTGCAGAATAGCTGACAAAATCTTTATGAAAGCAGAGCGACTGACTGCCAAAGGCTGAGCATCTTCCTTCTTCTTAAACAGAACATCTCACTGCAAGTGACAACTAACACAACAGGTATCCTACTTTTCAATAGATATCATTGTGGTAGCAGAACAAGGTGTAGACCATCTTTCTCTTCTGTCAGGAAATGCTGAAAAAAGTGGACTACCTGCTTCTCTCTTTATAAATAGATCACAGCGGAACTGTTTGGTGCATGCTCAATTGTCTTCTAACCATTTAAACATCACTACACTATAACTGGCGTGCTCTGGTCCATGGGGTCAAGAAGAGTCAGACACGACTAAACGACTAAACAACAACAACAACACTATAACTGGCATAAGACTTTAAAAAAAAAAATCTGTGTTTAAGCCTTGGTTGTAAAATGCCTTATACTGACCTTAACAGGGGGACTATTCTTGGAGGATAGTCCAAGAATACAGGGCTTCATGCTACATTGCATTTGGACTGCACTGAAGGCAAGGCCTGGCTGAAGGAGTTGAAGATGGCGTCAGGTCCTTTGGTGAATATGAGCAAGACAAAAGGCTACTGGGTGTAGACCTAGGTTATTAAGGGCAAAAGGATTAAGTGTAGTATGTAGCAGGGTCCTATTTATTTTTAATTGAAATTCTCAATGATATAAATTCCTAAATATGGACATTTTCTGAAGAATTACCAGTACTCCTCCTCATTCCAGGCTTAGTACATGGCAGATTCCTGTCAAAAAAAGAGAGGACACCTGTGAATTAGGCACTTCATTAACCACAAACTAACAGTGTTAACAACCTGATGCTATGCGTGTTCAGTCGGAAGTAAATCCTACTGAGTTCAGTGGAGCTTACTTCCTATTAAATGTGAAGAAGATTGCAACCTTGTTAATTGAAATATATTCTTACACCAAAGTGTACTTTTCAACACACATAGATAAATGTTCACTCAATGCCACTTCATTACTAAGCAAAATGAAAGCCATAAACTGAACCTATACCTCTGGAATTTCAAAACAGCACGGGAAATTTTTGAAAAACTGAAACTTTTCTCATATTTAAATTTTTGAACATTTTCAGAACTCAAATATAAATTTTAGCATAAGAACAGGATAGCACAGCTTCAAAAACTGACCAATTCAAAATGAGACATGTTTATTGGAACTAAAAGTTCTTTTCATCAGAGTACTGTGTATATATTACATCACACTGACTTTTATTTCATCTTAAAGCATTTTTTTTAATCTGATGTTATTTTCACTATATCTTGTTTTTATTTCAAGTTTATTTTACTTTGTCATCATTTTCATTTCCTTTTTGATTCATTGTGTTACACCTTCCTTGGCTGTCTGAACTAATTGTAAAAATTGTTAACCTGTAAATTTAAATAAAAAATAAATAAACAATGAGAAAAGAAACACCTCTTAAATCTTCTTGGTTAACTTTTAAGCAATAATGCTAAGTTGGAACATGAACATGCCATACTTGATACTTATATACACTGGTCAGGCTGCATCTGGAGTACTGTATCCAATTCTGGACATTATATGTTAAGAAGGATGTTGACACACTGGAGCCCAGTCAGAGAATTTCACTCAGAATGTTGAGGAGTTTCAAAACCAAGTTCTTTGAGCAACAGTTGAAAGTGATGTGCTTGTTTAACCTTGAGAAGAGAAGCTTAAGGGACACGTGATGGCTATATCAAAGGGCTGTCAACTGTATTATGTCTTCGGCAAGATGGAGTAGCCTTAATATCATTACTATCAAGATTTTATATTTATTTATACCCCACCTTTTTCTCAAAATGGCTTACAGATAAAAACAACAACCTCTAAAAGCATATAAAAATCTATGATTAAAATACATTAAACATTGTTAGAATTAAAACTCTCTCATTCATCTGTTTAAAACTTCTTCTTTGGCGATCACTCGTAGCCGAGTAAGATTTTCTTCCATAAATACGGTTTTAACAATGAGTCTGTAGAAAGGGAGGCAGATTATGTTTAGGGCACCTTTTCTAGCCCCTCCCCCTTTTCAGGGTGAGCAGAGTGGATCCTAAAAAGGGCTGCTCAGAACAGAGCCCTACTGCGAATACTGTGCGTTGATCAGCGTTTAAAACATACCAATAATTACAATAAAAACTGGATGGCACCAGCCCTTTAATTAAAAGCATTCCATTCCAAAAAGCCTGTTGGAACAAGTAAGTCTTCACTTGCTGGGGGAAGGACAGCTTCTCCATGGAAGGAGTTCCAAATATGGGGGCAGACACCAAGAAGGCCCTTTCCCACATGTGTGATTTAATCTTTGCTGCTACAGAGGATAAGACTAAAATCAACGTACAGACATTCTAGGGAATTTCAGGTAAACATTGGAAGAAACTCCCTAATCGTAAGAACTGCTTGACAGCGCCTCCAGAAGTGGTGGTCTCTCCTTCATTGGAAGTATTTAAGTAGAGGCTGACCCCTTCCAAATAACAATTTTATTATTCTGTTTAGGCATAGGTTGGCATGCTACAGTTGCATCCTGAACTGAATATCTCTCACCAAGCAGGGGGTTGGGCTTAATGATTTTCAAGTTCTCTTCCCAATCATTCTACAGCAGGTGTATTTTAAACCTGGGACCTTCCATATATTGTTGAACCACAGCTCCCAGCAGCCCAGGGTAATATGGCCAATGGTCTGAGATGATGGGAGTTGGAGTACAAAAAAAACCATAAGAAGGGCCACGTATTCCTCATAGCTGTTCTACAGTCCATAAATCCATAAATCTACAGGGCATAAATTGCCCTGAGCTGGGAATTTTTACTGAGACATAATGTAGTGTAAAATTGTCCTGTCATATCAAACAGATATAATCTAACCTAACATTTGCAGGGAAGCAGACTGAAATTAATATAAACAGGCTTGTTTATGTATTTACTTAAACTTCTTTCCCTAACCCAGGTCTCAGGGCAAATTGCAATATAAACTTCTTTCATTTTATTCTCACAACAGCCCTGTGAGATCAATAAGTCTGTAAGACAGTAACTTGCAGAAACCCCCAAGTAAGCTTTATGGCTTAGCAGGGATTTTATCCAAAATCTTGTGATAATGCCACCAGACTTTATTTTTAATAAAGTATGCATAAAGGTGACGACTGTAGTCAAAACAAGCAATAGTCCAATATAGCCAACAGTATTATAGATTTGAAAATGGAAGTATTAACATTTAACTCATTTAATTAAAATCTACATGAAAAGAACCTGCAACTCCTGGTAATAAATTCCCCCCCAGCCAATGAAACTGTGGCCTGGTTCACACAACTTACTTAGCTAAACCATGGCCTATCATATGGGCACAAGGATATGGGCTCCTGAAAAGGTCAGACATGCTTCACTCTTCCTTGATTTTGCTGCTGTGCCATACTGACTTATGCCATAGTTTCACTTAGTATGTTATCCAAAGTCAGGCTCATGGCTCAGCTCTCTCCAAACCAGCTTCATTTTATGGGTTACAGGTGGTGGTTTGCCCAGGAGAACTAAACTGGGTTCAGACAACATGCTTATCTAAATTATGGCTTAACTCGCAGCAACACAGCAGCAAAAGACTAGAGAGAAGTGTAGTGTCTGTGATCTCCTCTCTTAAGTCTGAGTGTTTGACTTAACGTGGCATGTGAACCAGGACACAGTCGATATTGATGTGTACATTGAAATATTTAGCCAAAGTTAAGCACTTTTTAGTCCTTTTGATTTCAGCAAGAGAAAAAGTAATACACATACTTAACTTTCCCTTTGTGATTGATGGTTCCTAAACATGCTTAAGTTTACCTGGATCACCCTTTGTATTTTTAATACTGAAATGCATTTAGGAAAATTATATGGCAGAAGTTGTAATACTGCTCTAAATGTTGCCCTCAATTATCTTTCAGAAACAAAAATATATGAAACTGAGTCTGCAATCCTAGTATATTTACCTACATCCCGCTGTACACAGTTGGACTTACTTCCAAATAACCATGCACAAGACTGCACTATAAAACTTACATTATTTTCTGTTTCTTTCTGCTCCTTTTGATGTGACAGCCATTTTGTAATATGCCACATGCCCACAGCACCTGTACTGCTAGTTCTCCATTTCCACCGCAATCCTGACAGACTGTGCACTTTACTTTCAAAGGATCAGCTGCACCTAGTAATTTTCCATACAACAAAAGGCAATCCCAATTCACCAGGCCCTATAAATCCTTAGCTTTGGAGCCTTCTCATCAGTGTGAGCAACTAGTCTCTTCTGTGTGGGCACTGATGGTCTCGGTTTCTACTTCCTCTTTTTTTATCTCTGTTTTGCCAGGTTTTGAGTTTTGACTAGATACCTGCATCTGGTTTCTTTGATTGATGCTTGGAAGTTGAACCCTATCTGTTTTGGCCGACTTGGACTGACAGCCAGCTCTTCCCCTTTCCTGGAGCCCGACTGTCTGGAGACTGCTGAGACCTGACAGAGTGCCGATACAAGTTCAGCAAGGGAATTCCTTCCATTGAACAGAGTAGATCACCTCCACTGCTGTGAATAAATGTCTATGAAGGTAGCGTAAAAGATCAGTACTCAAAATATAATAAACTATATCTGTTTTATGCACAATACATCAAATGCACATGATCAAAGCCTGTGCTCAATTATGCTCCAGTGTATGTGTGTATATTCTAATCTAACAGTGGATAAACCATTCTGGACTCTTGGATCATCTTTTGTTGTGGATTCCATTCAACAATTTTGGATATATAATATGCTGCTATATTTACAATTCCAGAAGAGAGAGATTGCATAAAACGTTGTTTTTGAGGGATTTCTACAACTAATTCATTGCCACAATAAAGGAAGAACATTTTTGAAAATGGGAGAAAACAAGTAATCTTTCATGCTAAGAGTTTGATAGAAATGCACCCATATTCTTTTTAAATAGATTTTGTCAAAACAAGACCAGTTAAACCACTAAGGTACACGTTATTAGAATGGATCCAATTACTAATCATGGCGAAAATATGTCTCAAGGGATAATATTCTGAGTGTTCAATGAACCATACAAAGGTTTTAATGTGGGGTTTTGTTTTGTTTCTGTAAGTAATCCCATTAGTGTCAATGATTCTTCATAGGCACTTAAACATGCACTTAATTTTCAGGCAGATACGTAATATTTAGTGTTGGATCATCTAGTTTAATTTGCATACAGGTTTGAAAAGTCAGAGGTTGCTCTAAAGTATTTTGCAAAATGTGCCACTGTGCTTGTGCTTTGAAATGCTTTTCAGGTGTCTTCGTTCATTAAGACAAAACATGCCTAATGATAAAAACCAGGATATTGGAACTTTAAAACAACACAGATACTGCTCTGTTCAGGGAAAGAGCTTCTGTTCACTGAATGAGAGTTCTTTCCTAGGATAAAGCCTTTTGCAAGTGTCAGGAAGGATCCCTATATCAGTAGCAGAATATCTGCTTTGCAGGCAAAAGGGCCTAGGTTCATTCCCCAACATTTTCTGGTAAGGTTGGAAACGTCTTTTGTCTGAAACTCAGTGGAGCTGCCGTCAGTTAGTGTAGACAATATGCAGCTTGATGGACAAAATGGGTCTCACCTTTGGATAATGCTGCCTATTATGTAACCAATGCATGGAAGCTCCTTTAGATCAGAGAGTGAAAAATTAGGATCTATGACGTTTAGGAAAATGTTATAACATTAATTATTTAGTGCAGGAAAAAAACCAAATGGGAAACATACCGCTGACTAATCTATACCTGAATGTCTCCAGCTCCATCGTTCAACCCGGACCCTGAGGTCCAGCTCCAAGGACCTTCTAGAGGTTCCCTCACTGTGAGAAGTGAAGCTACAGGAAATCAGGCAGAGGGTCTCTGTAGCAGTAGTGCCCTCACTGTGCAACGCCCTCCTATCAGATGTCAAGGAAACAAACAACTATTTGACTTTTAGAAGACAACTGAACGCAGCCCTGTATTGGGAAGTTTTTAATGTTTAATGTTTTTATATGAGTTGAAAGCTGTTCAGAATAGCTGGGGCAACCCAGCCAGATGGGTGGGGTAATAGTAGTAGTAGCAGTAGTAGTAATAGAAGAAGAAGGAGGAGGAGAAGAAGAAGAAGAAGAAGATCTTAGATTCAATAACAAGGCAACTTTTCAAACATTGCTCCAAAGGATTTCTTAAATTCTTTCTTTTAAGAAGACTTAACAGAAATATGACTTATAAAGTACCTTTTAAAGTTAAATTGGTTTCCAATTAGGTGAATGTTGAAAACACATAAATGGGTAAAAGCAGACACATAACAGTGAAAATTATGCGGACAGAGCTGGAGGAGTGAAAAGTGTCTGAGATGTTTAAAGCATTACAGAGCCATTGTGATATCTGGTTTTCAAAACGATAGTACATTAAAAAGAAGTTGGTTATATTCTTGAAGGGGCTGTTTTCTGTATCTCCATTCCATAGTTTTGCTCTAAGTATTATTTTTTGTGGGATGGGAGATTCTTAGAAAACTTTAACAAAAACCAACCTAAAGCGGACTTTCATTCAGTGCTGATTTCATACCCAGTTATACCTAATTAGTGTAAATAATAATATTCAGCCTGTAAATCCTTACAAAGTTTTCAAGCATAATAACCAAGAATACCACTGATATTAAAGAACAGTTGAAGTACAGAATTAAGGGCATGGATAAATTGGCACTTAAGAATGTACGAGTTGGCTAATAGAATAACAAGGATGGATCATATGATGTCACACGAGACCAGCAATGGGCACACTCCAGTCCACAAGCCTGATTAGGCCCTCAAGCCTCTCCTTTTGGCCAGTGGAGCCATTTTTAGATACCTGTCAACTGACGTCATATGACATCAATTGCTTTTTCTTCACAGGGTACTTTGTGTGACCTTGCATGTATTTCCTAGGTATTTGTGCCTTAGAATCATAGAATTGTAGAGTTGGAAGGAACTGTGAGGATCATCTAGTCCAACCCCCTGCTATGGAGTACAGCGGTACCTCGGTTTTCGAACCCAATCCATTCCGGGAGACCATTTGAATTCTGAAACATTTGAAAACTGAGGGGCAAAGGGCGGTCTGCAAATTCAATAGAGAAAATGGGGGGGGGCGGACTCAACGGAAGCCGTTCGACTTCTGAGCACATTCAAAAATGGAAGCATCTATTTCTGGGTTTTCGGCATTCAAAAAGCAAAACGTTAGACTCTGAGACGTTCGAAAACTGGGGTACCACAGTAATATGTAGCTGTCCTGTACAGGGATTGAACCTGCGACCTTGGCTTCATCAGCACCATGCTCTAACCGACAGAGCTACCCAAGCTGGACTGTGTGATCCATGCCCAAAACAATTTAGTCCAAAGACCCAAAGCATATTTGAGTATGATGCCCTTAGGAGGTGGTTTTTGTTTAGGCAGCACTGAGAAGCAGTTGAAGTTGTGACCAGATAATGCTAGGGAGGAAATAAAAAATAGACAAATGATGAAATATTCATCAAGGAGTTGTGGCAAACAGAAACTCACAGAAGGATAGAACAACTTGGGCCTATATAACATTGTGAGGAAGTTTCCATTCCAAATTTTACCCAACCCCTTAGTGGAAAATACTTGGGAATATATATATATATATCAGGCTGCACACAATTTACATATTTCCATGGCAGTTAACAGTAATTTTTCCCTCATCAGTATTCAGCAGTGGCCCATCGCAAGAAAGAGAAAAAAAACCAAAAACCATAGAAACATGAGAAGGAATGGAGATAAAAGGAAACCGCTGAACAGGAAAAATATGTCACATCTTAATTGAGCTGAGAATAAGGCAAAAAAAATAAAAATATTATATGGCCTGCAGCTATGGAAACGTATTTCCAACAAACTAGTGCATGTGAAGTAAGCAGAGAGTTGCCCTCCCCAACATGTGTTCAGTTTTAGAGATTCTACCAAAGTAAGTCATTAAACAGCAGAGTACACACAGCAGAATACATACTATATGCCAAATTGAGCTGAGCTGAATAATTTGCACCAACTCTCCCTTGGTTTCTTTTTGGCTTGCAAAAGAAGAAGAAAAAGCCTACATTCTGCTCATTGAAAAAATCCATCCCAGTTCACAGCAGGCTATACGTAAAGAAGTTTTTTGAACATGCTTAGGCCTGTTTGATACGGCAGTTGGGCTGTGAGTAAAACCCTTCTCTATCAGAACCATCAAGGACTGCAAGATGAGACCAGCAGTCTCATTCCATCCCTATGTGGTACTAGAAGGAGAAGGGGATGTCCTGCCCTCGCTTTTCAGTGATGGTTGGAGATCCCAAAGCTAGCCCCATGCAAGTGCTGAGTGGACAGTCACCCTTGGAGTTGTAAGCAGCCTGTGTTCTTATCAGGGCGACCCCATCAGCCAAGACTTGCCCCCCTTCAATTGCCTTGTGCCCTCCATGACCAAACCATGCCTTCATATGGTTTTGCTTAGTTAGCTAGGTAATTCACCGCTGCATAAATTTACTATGTGTGACAGCCCATTCGCACGTAGCTTGAGGATCTCAGCAGGGTGCCTGCCCAAGCAATCAAGCCCAATGTCTCTGATATGACTCCATACAGGGATTATCAAGCCACAGACATTTCACTATGCCTTTAATTGTGAGGTCCTAGAAAGGCACTAGGAAGAACTGTGTCCACCTGGTATGAAATTTTCAAACAGATCTGGATCCTATTGCTGTCTGCTAGTCAAGATAACTATATACTATCTTCAGATAGTATACCATTCCTCTGAATACCACTTTTGAAGAATAGTAAAGGTAAAGTGATGGTCCAGTTAGAGCTGGACCACCAAGAAGGCTGATCGCTGAAGAATTGATGCTTTTGAATTATGGTGCTGGAGGAGACTCTTGACAGTCCCATGGACTGCAAGAAGATCAAACCTATCCATTCTGAAGGAAATCAGCCCTGAGTGCTCACTGGAAGGACAGATCCTGAAGCTGAGGCTCCAATACTTTGGCCACTTCATGAGAAGAGAAGACTCCCTGGAAAAGACCCTGATGTTGGGAAAGATGGAGGGCACAAGGAGAAGGGGATAACAGAGGACGAGATGGTTGGATAGTGTCTTCGAAGCTAACAGCATGAGTTTGACCAAACTGCGGAAGGCAGTGGAAGACAGAAGTGCCTGGCGTGCTCTGGTCCATGGGGTCACAAAGAGTCGGACACGACTAAACAACAACAAAGGTAAAGGGGCCCCTGACCATTAGGTCCAGTCGTGACTGACTCTGGGGTTGCGGCACTCATCTCACTTTATTGGCCGAGGGAGCCAGCGTACAGCTTCCAGGTCATGTGGCCAGCATGACTAAGCCGCTTCTGGCGAACCAGAGCAACACACAGAAATGCCATTTACCTTCCTGCCGGAGCGGTACCTATTTATCTACTTGCACTTTGACGTGCTTTCAAACTGCTAGGTTGGCAGGAGCAGGGACCGAGCAACGGGAGCTCACCCCGTCGCGGGGATTCGAACCACCAACCTTCTGATCAGCAAGTCCTAGGCTCTGTGGTTTAACCCACAGTGCCACCAAGTGGGCTATTATTGGCCCTGCTCATGGTCTTCCCATAGGCATCTGGTAAACCATTATGGGAAATAGAGTGTTGTTTGGTCTCTGATCCAGAAAAGCTCTTCCTATGTTAACTTCTCAAAAAGTGGTATGTCCTGGGTTATTTTGGGAAACATTCCAACCAGTCAGATGTAGATAGTTCTCCTGTCCAGATTCTGGTTGAGTAATGAGTTCTACTATATCATGGACATATTTGGTCCCCACCCTCTCAGTTTTTCTTCCTCTGCAGAGATTTCCAGGCTTTAGGAGTCATGCACAACAAGTTTAGACATGCAAGAGTTCAGTGGGTAGTAGGATTATAGGTTTGATTTTTAATACTAGTTTTGTTTTCTCCAAAGAAATTCTAAGTATTATAGGAAACATGAGCTGAGAACTTGACCATTCCCTTAAGAGACTTTCATTCTTTAAGGTAGGACTGCCATACGTCCGGATTTTCCTGGACATTACAGGGATTTCAAAGGCAGAATAAACAAAAAACTCAACAACCTTCGAGGTGTCCAGGTTTTTACTTTTTGAAATATGGCAACCCTATTTAAGGAATATATCCAAGTTCTCTCCACAATGTTAAACATCTCTTTAATACTTGGCAAAATGCCCCCTGCTTTTTAATGTATGCCTTAGCAGTGAGCAAAACAAACAAAACAAGGAAGGTGGCTGAATTAATGATTCATATTTGCAAAACCTCTTTTTGGCACATCAAACCATAGGGGGAAAGGTACAGGTGAATCCCAGAGGATATCCATACACACAGTTTTGAAAGCTTCAAGAAGATACAATGACTTTAGATAAGCTCTTCAGCTTGTGATTTGATAAACATCTTTTCTTTCTCAAAGCAACTGTGTTAGACATAAGGATTTTACAAAAGCTCTCACAGCAGCCTACACAATACTTGCTAGCACTCCAACTCATAAAATGTCACCTCTGTCCAGAAAATGCCACTCGTTCACAACACTAATCAGATAGCATTTCTCTCTCACCCACCTCACCAGTTTATTTATTATCTGTAGAGTTATGACTCCTGCAACTGCCAGCAATACTGTTAGCTGACATAAACAGAAAAGATACTGGTTTTTTAAAAAAATAAAATAAAATCATGGTACATTTATACAGAAGAACTAAAACAAATTTTCTGATAGGCATTCACACCAACATTTTTCATTTTCAATTGAATTTCAATTTCAATTTTTTGGAATTTGGAAATCTCATTTTTATATCTTGTGAATTTCCACATTCGTGTTTGACTTATAACTTCACTGTTATTGAGGAGTACATGCACTCTATGTAACACTGAAAGAGAGACATTTTGCTGCCTGAGGTAGAAAAGCAAATGGTTCCCCCTCGCCACCAATCCCATCAAGTCAATTTAAAATTAGTTTGGCCCCGAGGCAGAAAATCCCACCAAGTGCAAATTGTAGAAGTAGAAAATACCACGAGAAATTAAAGAACTAACCACAAGCTTTCCTTTCATGGCACCCCAAATTAACTGCCTGACACCTCACTCTGTCTAATCCTAGGCAGTAATAGTCTGGGAGAAGTGAAGGAGACATGTAGGAGAATAAATAATTTGTTTTGTGGGTGCTAGTTGAAAGAGAATTTCACACCAAGAGTTGGTGGTACCACTGAGCAGTTCAGTGGTGCACTGAACATAGAATGCCCTTCTAGTGAGGCTCACCTGATGCACTTTCTATAATCGGTCAGGCACTATGAGATGACTTCTTGTTCTTCCAGTCCTGTTAATTACAGTGGTGTGTCTATTTTTACTGGTACTGTTAGGTTTTTGCAGCAAATTATTATCAAATTATTATTCTTGGTTTTAATGTTGATTTTAGATTTTTAGCAGCTGCGTCCATACTGGGTTTTTTGTTTTGTTTTGTTTTGTTTCTGTTTTGTAATTGGTTTAGCTGTTTAAACCTTGGGATTATATTTTGTAATTTGAAGGAGTCTATAAACTGCCTAGCGTGCTCTGGTCCATGGGGTCACGAAGAGTCGGACAAACTAAACGACTAAACAACAACAACAACATAAACTGCCCAGAGAACTAAGTTACTTGGGTAGTATATAAATGCAATAAATAAAAAAAACTGCTATTCTTTAATCTCTTTACAATTATAATTTGATCACCAAATCATTGCCCCGTTGTTTTGCTCTCCGGAAAGCAATTTGAAAGATATTTCTGCAACACACCATGCTGTTCAAATTGAGCTCTATCTGCCATTCTGGTAAATTCCCAGTAGGGGCTAACGATAAAATAGTTGTAACCATAATCTTAGCACATACTGACCATGGTTCAGTAAGAGCTAATTTGCAGCTGCTCTTTTCCTATTTAATCATCATATGCATGACAGTGGTTTACTGTATTTCCATATTCTTCACATAAAATATCTGAACTTCAAGTCTCAGGGATAAAAGGTTAATGTATCACCAGTGAGCCTTCCAGTCCCCATATGGCTCAACAAATGGTGCCTTTTTATCCTGAAGTTTCTAATTTGACAAGAGACAAGTAGCTAATTTTGCATACAACTGCTCCAGCAGCTAAACATTTAAATGATAAGAATGAAAACCCTTAATCCATTCAGTATTCTCAAATTTGATGCCACTTGTATAGCTATTCTCTCTTTCTAATAGAGGTGGTAATGGATATCTGAAGTGTTCAAAACAGTGTTCAAGAAAAATGAGAAGCACTAAGTGTTGCATCTTGCATTAAAAATAAATAATGCTCCTTCACCTTGTCTTTGGCATT